ATATGTGTATGCATATGCAGAGGACCAGAACACGCCCGACACTTTCTCAGCCGGCTCTCCAAGTTTTACCGCAACTGACATTGCACGGTGCACATATATATGTGTATGCATATGCAGAGGACCAGAGAGAGAGAGAGAGAGAGAGAGAATGTTGTGGATTCTTACGTGCATGAAGATGCATACGTGACTGCGGCTGGAAGTTTGAAAGCCAAAGGCCTACCGGCGCGCACGATATCTCTAGGAAAACTGGCGAGCTGTATACTATATTCAGAAACATGTCCGTTATAGAAAATCCGCACACAGATACCACGTAGTCTCCCATGTGACCCAGATAAAAGCGCAACATAGAGACAGGCTTTTGTCTGGCTTTGCAGAAGTTGAGAAGTCAGCTCATCAAGGCGTCTATTCTCGGAGAATGGGACATCTCGAGAACCTAGTTAGCCAAGACGCCAACACTCCGCTATAACAGAGCCAAATTAGTGTTTCTGGGATGATGCGAAAACAGGAGAGGAAGAGAAGAACCTAAAAGCTCCTGCGAGTCGAGAGCTTTTCGTGGTTTTAAGTTCAATTCCACGCAAACTAGCTCGGAGGATGCATCTCTCTCTCCTGTTGCTGATCGATTCTCGTGAAATCAGAATGCGAATCCAGTGAATTTATTCAGGCATCATAGTCCCGATTCTTTTTGCACTCTTTTTTTTTTCCTTCACTTTAATGATTTGCAAACAAACTCTCTAAGGATTAACGGTTCTGTGTAATCGTGATGGAAATTGACTGAGCTCCAGCAGAGCTGTCCTTTCAGCCGGAAATCGAGTCGCTTTTTCTTCAATCCTTGTGCTTCCGGAACCATCAAATTCCGTTTAGATTATCTTACGGTCTCTTTCGAATGGCCGTTCATTCAATACCCAGACAATAGATACTGGGGACGCAGGGTCTGTGAAGGAAAGAATCTGTTCGGTTCGCAAGGGACCATTTATCGGATTTCTTCTATAGAGTCTGTGCATCTCTACGCAACTGCGAACTTTGACAATACCCGACGGGTTTGCGTATTGGCATCGCCGTCGCGACGCTAATATAAAATTTATATTACAGCCTAAAACCGGATAATATTAATTTAATGATAAATTATCCTTGCAGACTTGAATTTGACGAACAAAGATGATAACAAGTTCTTCCTGTACTTTCAGAAAACGTAAAACCAAAGAAACCTGTTGACTTGCTGATCCCTAAGGGAGTCGACGATGACATGGACGAGGATGAGGATGATCTCGATGATGAAGATGATCCTGATACGGATGCCGACGATGACGATGACTCCGATGGAGATTTAGAGGATGTTCTCAGTGATCAACCAGACGACGAAGAGAGCGACGAGGAGTATCTGGATGATTACGACACCACCACGAGGTACTCTTGCGACAAAATTATGGAATTGCTGTGTTTATGTCATAGTCGAGGACCTTGTTCAGAACTGGTTATCGTTACAGTCGACCATCAACGACCGTTTCTACGACAGAAAAATCGAGACAGGAAGTTACGGCTATGCCACTTCCTGTTAGTTCCAGTACCCAACAGCCTTCTCAACCACAGGGCACACCTGATCCTTACCTCACACACTTTGACCCGAGAATGGAACACCAGAGTTACAAACAAGCTCAGACGAGGCTCGAGGAAGTTCACAAAGAGATGGTTACTAAGGTAAGCAATACGTTGTTTTGGTGAAATTTATTTATAAGGAATTCTAATGCACTTGGTAAAATCTTTAAAAGTCTAAAAGTATGGCGGGGAGCGTCTGTGTCGAAATTTGTGTGCTACAACGATTTCAGGTGATGAAGGATTGGAGTGATCTCGAGGAAAAGTATCAAGACATCAGGGCGGATAATTCCGTTGCTGCGGATGCTTACAAACGGTGGATGACAGCCAGGTTCCAGAAAACGGTTGCTGCTCTTGAGGCAAGTGGAGCTGCTGAGAAACGCCAGTTGAGTGCCATGCATCAGCAACGAGTTCAAGTGAGTACTTGCTGAGTTTAAAGATCAATGGAGAGCCCCAAAACGCTCTTTCTGAAAGTATCGTGACACCTGGATCTCAATTGTCCAGGAAGTCGTAAAGCAGAGGAACGAGGAGGCTATGTCTTGCTACACGACCGCTTTGAACGAGACTCCACCAAACGTATGTAACTGTGCCGAGCGTCGAATGGGTTATCAATAGAACGATATAAGGTGATCGAAAATTTATTATTTTCATTTTATTCTCGTAGACTCATCGGATTCAGAAGTGTCTCCAGAAGCTGTTAAGGGCTCTGCACAAGGACAGACACCACACTATTGCACACTACAGGCATCTCCTGGACAGCAGCTTGGAACAGGCACTACGTGAAAAGCCGGCAACATTGGACCATTTGGCGGAAATTAACAGGATTACTAATCAAAGTCTACTAATGTTGGAACGGTAACGGACCCGACTAATTCACCCGGGGCTTTTATTAGTTATCCTCAATTTCGATGCAGCGAGTCGTCACGCTCGTTTTCAGGTATCCTGAATTGAGTGCCAAGATCGGTCGACTGATGGAAGACTACGTCCAGGCCCTCAGGAGCAAAGACGAGATCCCGGGACTGATGTTGGCGATGACACCGGAGGCGGAGGCTGCCATTCTTGACAAGTACCAAGCTGACGTGGCCAGTAAGCAGCAAGAGAAGGAGCACCAGAAGCAGCTGGAGCGAGAGCGCAAGGAGCAACGTAAGGCGGAACGTGGGGAGCTGCGCACTGAACAACAGCAGCACGAAGATGGAAATCCGGTTGTGGAGAAAAAGGACGTTCCCCAGCAGTCTGAGCAGCCCGCAGTAGCCGTGGCAGCGATGCACAACGAAGGAGTCATCAGAGCAGCTTATAGTATGACCCACGACGTATCTCATTCCGAGCCGGTAATTATATTTCTTACTTCATCATAGAAGAATGGTCCATCGACGAGTCTCTTATCCTCTAGAAGAGGAAGGACATTGCGCCAACTACATTCTACAATTATACTCTGTCTTCTCTGTCTTCTCTCAGGGCTACTCAGTCAGACGAGAAGTCTATCACAGGGAGAGTCGCTCGGTGTACTTCACCCTGGCTTTCGCTGGGATCGCCTTGATGGCAGCTGCGATTGTAGGAGTAGCTGTGTTCAAAAGACGCAGTGCAAGGAGCCCCCACAGCCAGGTAAGATAATTAACCCCTTGATCATCTACCTTTTCGACTAGCCTTTCAGCCTTCGCCGCAAACTGGCTCTAGAGTACACGATACATGGGATATCATAATTGTATTTAGGGTTTCATCGAGGTGGATCAGGCGGCTACGCCCGAGGAGCGACACGTGGTCAACATGCAGATCAATGGCTACGAGAATCCAACCTACAAATACTTCGAGGTCAAGGAATAACTCCATCCATCAATTTTCGTTTCGTAGAACCTCGGTTCAATAAGCCTGGTCTCGCGTTCTTTTAAGTCAAGCGTTTCCTACGAGATAATCGGCGTTTCGTTTATACTCATCATTAAGGTGAATTAATTAATCAACGGCGGTACTTCCGAGGAATATTCGCGAACTCAACGAGATGATCAGAGATAAGCCTCGCCCTCGATTCCCGCTACAGGAACAGGATGCGAAAGGGATTCTCTCGTAACCAGGTGCCATAATGCATAATCGTCGTGTAACATCATCTTTGGGAGTACCTATTCTATACTTTTCCTTTTCTAAGTATTATAATATTATTTAGTTAACGAGAGTACAGGATTAGAAAATCCTGTCGAGTCACAGAGATCCGAGGATGGTCTCTACTTCCACCAGGAAATAAATAGTCCCTTCTCCGCCGGTCACGCAGGTTTCACCTGACTCTGTACTCTCGAGCTCTGATATTGTTACGGGAAATGAGTGTACTACCCCGCGACGGCAGCGGAAGTGGCAGCTTTAAACTAAGGAGAGCACATAAATAAGGATAACAAAAGGAAAAAAATAAAAAAGGCGCGAGAAGGAAGAGAAGGTTACGACACTCATTAAATATCAGAACGTCCGTCGCATAGGTATTTATAATAAGTGAATAATTGCTAGCACGACGTATGCTAAACTATAAAAATCTTCGTTCGATTTCCACTGCCTGTCCTTTCGTTTATTAATCTCGGTACTTAAAGTTTGCTTGTGGTTAGGCTAAACGCGTTTAAAAGACGAAAGAGGCAGACGAACGAAGTGAAAAAAAATCTCAAGTAATAAAAGGAAGGAATAAAAAATGAGAAAACGTAGCAAGAAAATCTCATTGCTCGGTGATGGATTGGAAAATTAAGGCAAGAAAAAAAATGCAGTGACAAGCGAGGAGGAAGAATCTCGTATCTGACGGATCCACGTTGCACCAGAAGGACTTTGCGATGGACGTGTGTGTGTGTGTGAGAGAGAGAGAGAGAGAGAGAGAGAGAGAGAGAAGAGGACGAGGAGAGTAATGGGCGGAGAGGGGAAGGACGAAGTTTAAAAATGGTATAGGTAGAATATTCTGTCATTCCAAACCCGGTAGTTTCACTATTTTCGAAGGTGTTGTCAAAAAAGGCAAGTAAAGCAAGGAAAATGTTCGTGAGCTTCGTTCGACTTTGCCGATGCAGTAATTTCGTTATCTCGCTCGTTTGACTGAAGCAGTGAAAGTCGGGACGGAAGAAACGGTCGAAAGAAGTCACGCCGAGGCTCGCGAATAAGAGGAACAGTATAAAAAGAAGATGGCGAAGAACGTTATAACTGTACGTGGAATCCAGCGATACCTCCGAAATACGTTTAGCGAACAAGAGAAAAAAGAGAAAGAAAAAAGAAAGACATAAAAAAGCATACAAGAAAAAGATGTACTTGACATCCGTGCGTTATCGGAGAGGCAAGGCTTCTTCTCATTCTCTCGTAATCAATTTTTTTTAATCCCCTCCCCCAACACTTGG